GCTCTTGGGTGGGGAGGATGGCTTTGAAAATTGTGGGCAGTTTAGGAAAATGTTTCTCTTTCTCTGTGTAGATTTAGAGTGTCCACTTTCTCAGAGCTGCTTATTCTTTCGGGGCCACGTGTCATAAATCTGCCTGCCTGTCATCTGATCCAACCAATACTCACTGGACACTCAGAAAAATAGACAAATATCTGCAATTCACGGGACCCAACAGGGTACGTCAGTGCCCGCTCCGGGTTATGTCGGGAAACGCGAATGCCGAAGACCTCACCGGAGCTGTCCAGCTGCACCGTTTCCTCACCTCCAGCAAAGGTTACTCCAGAATGAGGACCCCAGGCTCAGGGCAAAACACTGTGCCCGTGTGTCACTGTGCAGGGGACGGAGGCCAAGCCCTCCTTCGCAAAGGAGATACACTTTTGAACGACACACACAGCACTGGCTGAAAATGTGCTGCTAAGATTTTCTTCCTTTCTACTTTTCTCCTCTAATTTTTTGGCAACGATCACTTTAAAAACCTCAAGCTCTTACTGATGAATTAAAAAAATATGCAGAGTCCCAAAATTACATTTGATTCATTTTTTAAGGACAATTTTTAGAGCAGTTTTAGGTTCACAGCACGGTTAAGAGGCAAGTACAGAGATTTCCCACACACCCCTCACCCCCTGGCCATAGCCATAGCCTCTTCTATCACCCACATTCCCCGCAGTTCATCATCTGTAATTAATGGGCACACCCTCATCACCGAAGTGCGTGGTTGACATTAGCATTCGCTCCGGTGTTGTGCATTCTGTGGGTTAGGACAACTGCATGACACGCATCCATCGTCACAGCATCGCACAGAGCAGTTTCACTGCCCTACACATCCCCTGTGCTGTGACCTGTTCACGCCTCCTTCCCCAATGCCTGGAACCCACTGGACTTTTTACTGGCTGCACAGCCTCGCCCTTCTCAGAATGCCGTATCCTTGAAATCATACCATCCGCAGACCTTTCAGACTGGCTTCTATCACGTCGTAACTTGCACTTCAGATCCCTCCATGTCTTTTCACGGCTGGACTGCTCCCTTGCTCTTAGTGCTGAATGCCCCATTGTCTGGGTGGGCCACCATTTCTTATTCATCCACCTACTGAGGGCATCTTGGTTGCTTTCAAGTTTTGCCAGTGATGAGCACAGCATGTGCAGGGTTCTGTGTGGACATGGTGTTCAGTTCCCTTGGGTAAATACCGAGGAGGGTGATTGCTGGATTGCATGGGAAGAGCACGCTTGGCTTTGTAGGAAACCGCCATATTGTCTTCGGAGTGGCCATGCCGCTGGCCTCCCCACCAGCGATGCCGCTCCCACCCTAGTCAGCGTTTGGCATTGTCCGTGTTCTGGATTCCGTGCTAGTAGCCTATAGTGGTATCTCAATGTTTTTATTTGCATTTCCCTGATGACATACGTATGATGTGGAGTATCTTTTCACGTCCTTATTGACCTCTTGTGCGTCTTCCCTGGTGCGGGGTCTGTTCAGGTCTGGGGCCCTGGAAGCAGACCAGGCAACTAGGGAAGATGGGGCTGAGGCGGGGCCGAAGGGGTAAGGGGAAGCTATGGTCACAGGGACTTGTGACCCGTCCTACTGGGACTTCCCCTCCGGGTGCTTCTATGAATCATTAGTTTGTAAAATCGCAGAACAAAGTGGGACCTGAATCTTCCCTCGTGTGTCATACAAATGAGGAACCAAGAAACACGTCCAGTGTCACAGACGAGTCAACAGCAGACTTAGGAATCAGCCTCAGCTCTTGAGACCTGGCCAAGTGATTTCTCAACATCCCCGTGTTGCCTGTACCTTAGAGACAGAAGCAAGGTTTGTTTGGGCTGGAAGAACGGGACGTCCCCGCAAGCTAACTCCCATGAGAGGAGGCCTATTTGAAAAGAGTCAGGATGAAAGAGAATGTCCCCATCCTCTTCTTTAAAAAGGGAGAAACCAAGGGTCCAGAAAGAAGCTATTTCAGCACAGAACTCCGCGGTCAGCCTAGGACAGGTTTAACGCGCACCCAACCCCAGCTGGTGTGGCTCAGTTGGTCAGAGCCTCAATGCCATAAATCAGAAGTTCCTGAGTTCGATTCCTGATCAGGGCACATGCTTGGGTTGCAGGGTTGGGTCCTCTGTCGGGGCATGTGAGGGGCAACTGATCAATGTTTCTCTCTCATATTGATGTTTATCTCCCTCTCTCTCTTCCCCTCCCCCTCTCTGAAATCAATATGTGTGTCTTTAGGTGAGGACAAAAAAATAAAATAAAGTGTAATAAAATAAAATATATTCAGAGTATGGACAGTAAGGCTAGAATTCAGGGAACCATGTGATAAGATCAGATTCCTTCATATAGGCCTTGGAAGGCTTTCAGGGAAAAATAATTTTGAAGTTCAAATATTTGATTTTAGATGAGTTAGTTGGGAGTAAACTTGAGCCAGAGTGGAGGACGGCACCCTTTCCTCTCACTCCCGCCAAGATGGATGGTTTCCTCCTTCCCCTGTCCTCCTGGCCCCTCCGCAACCTCCCCTCCATGCCCAATGAACAGACACTGAAAGTCAAGTTCACCCTCCCCAACCAAACACCAGAAGCCTATGTAAGAGAAAATTGCTCTATATTCAGGGGACCTGGAGAGTGACGATAATTTATTTACACATGGCATTCTTGTAGTGAGGTTTCTGGTCCATCTGCTTTCATTCCCCACCCCCAACCCCACCCAAAGGTGGACTGGAGACAAACCCTGACCTGTGGGGTCCGTTATGAAATGAGGCATCGCATGGAACTCAAGGGCAGGAAATAAAGTGGGGTCATCCAGTGTGTTCCAAACAGTGATCAGAACTGTATTATTCACGTAATAAACAAAGTCCAAACCTCAGTGGCTTAACACAGTGAGAATTCATTTCTCGCTCGCGTCATAGTCCCCAAGCAAGTGGGAAGCAGCTGCAATCCACACAGAAACTTGGGATCCCAGGTTCCTGCCTTCTCCTCCTTCCTCCTGGTCCTCGAAGTGCTCTCCACGCCCAGGCAGGTGCTGAGAGAAGTGTGACGGGCCAGGTCCCGAGCTGGACCGCACCACTCCCACAGAACCCAATCACGCAGCTGCGCTCCACCAGAAAGGAAGACGGGGAATTCGGTCCAGCTGTGTGTGCCCAGGGAAAAGCGGGGGCCGCGGATCCTGGGGGTCACTAAGATTGGTTACCTGAGGGTCCATCTCTCTCTTGCTGTAGGGTCGCTCGCCTGTGCTTCAGACCCACTCTGTTCTTTTCTGTGCTGGCCAGATTTATGCTTCCTTAGCCACGGCCCTGGTCCCCAGTCGTTTCTTGAACTGAAATGATTTTCTAGCACAAACATCTCCTGCTGCAAACCGTGAGCTTTAACGCTTCTCCAATGCAAAAATTCGGCTTCCAGTGGGTACAGGGAATTTCTAGTTTCATCGAGATGGGTTTTGAGTCTCTGCTTCTTGCACTCCACGTGTGGTTTTTGGAAAACCACCAGAAAGGATTTGTTTTGCCCTGGCATTTGATCCTGGAAGTACCAGGGGAGGGCATTATATGTTAGTTTGGTTTTCAGGTAATAATGACTCTTGAAGGTAAACTGTCAGTCTCCTTGGCCAGCACCACCAGTCCCATTTTTGAGTCGTCTTCTTCAGAGGAAACCGCTGCCCTGCCTGTGATGAGTATCCTTGGGTGCGTACCATGAAATGCTGGCTGTGTTATGGGATTTTTAAATATATATATATATATATGACTATTTTATATTACATTATATCACCAGTCTGATTTTCCCAGCAAACCTTTTTTGGGGGTTAATTGTGTCCATGTTGACTCATATAAGTTTGTTTGAATTTTTCTAAAGCTTATCAAGGCATGAGAATGTAGCCATTTCACAAATGAGAGCCCTTTAGGGTGGTTTCCGTTTCTGATGTTTTGGGGCAACGTCTTGACTTGCCTGTGTCTCTGGAAGAGAAAGAGCTCAATGATAGCTTTTGTGCACGCTCAGTTTTATTAGGCGTAGCCCCTCAGTCTTCTAAGTGGCTGTACCACTTACACCTCCATCGGCACACTGTGCGAGTCTCGGAGAGTTTATGTGGTAGACTTTTAACTCTCGCCGTTCTGGTGGATGAGAAACGGTGTTTCTGATAACTAGGGAGGCTGAAGCTCTCCCGTGTCCGCCTGGGCCGTGTGTTACAACCACACCCCTCTGCCGGCTGCTCCTCCGGTCAGAGTGCCTTTCCATAAGAGCTCGGTTGTTTTCCTTACTGGTCTGCGGAAACCCTTCACGTGTTTTCCGTTCTGTGTCTATGTCTGTTATTGTTATCCCAAATCTTGACTTCAAAGCTGACCACTTATTTTTTAACTCTTTTGCGTTTATGGTTTTTATGTCGATGTAGCCAGATGTATCAGTTATTGCCCTCATTCTTTGTGCCTTGCTTAAGAAGGCCTTTTTATTCTGAGGTACGGATAGCACTTTTTATTAAATATTTTGTTGTTGTTCTAGTGCACTTGTCCCAGTTCTCCCCACTTTACTCTCCTCTGTCTAGCCCACCCCGCCTCCCCCGGCCAATCCCCATGCTGCCGTCCACGTCCTGCCTGTATCCATGGGTCCTGCATACATGTTTGAGATAGGTCGAGCATTTACTGAGAACCTGCCGTGTGACCGTCACTGAACTATTCATTTCATACGTTATCATCACCCCTCACCCTCATAACTGGATGGGATCGGCACTGCTATTAGCGTTCCCGTGTCACAGACGACAAAACCGAGGCTCAGCAGGACAAAGTCATCGGCCCCCAATGACAGAGCCAGTCATCTGCAGACACAGGATTTAAACCCGTTTCTGCTCGGCCCCAAATGCTTCCTCCTTTCTGCGTCACAGGCTGTGGGAGAAGCCTCCCCCCACCCCACACACACACGCAGGCCTTTCATCATCCTTCCTCTCGCCCACCACGTTCCAGGCCGGACTCAATGGGTGAAGGAAGACGGAGACACAGAGAAACGTCATACGTGTGTTTATTCACCAATCAACAGGCATCTCCTGTTTGGGCCAAGCCTCGTGTTGGATGCTGGGGGTGCAGAGGTAAAGCAGGCCAATCTTAGCCCCCACGGAGGGACTGGCCACAGAGCCACCTCTTCACCAAGGTACTGTCATTTTTTTCCAGGCTTGGGATGTACCAGGAGGTCCTGATCGTATTGAAGTGAGGAGAGTAAATCTGTGGAAGGAAAAGAAAGCAGAGCCTCAGCACAGGAACATCCGAGCGACCCTTAACATCCTTCCCACCGAGAGGGACCTCCGGCCCCCAGGCCCTAAGTCCCTTGGGACAAGGTGCTGGACTAGGTGGACGGTGCTGGTCTTCAGGCTAAGACTCAGGAACAAATCCCAGCTTTTCTGTGACTCTGCTTCAGTCTTCCGCTGGGAAAATGAGGGCACTGCACCCGAGGGGCCCGCAAAGGCCTCCGCATCTGTGCATCATCCAGGGATTTTGTGGTTCCAGACACACCGGCCAGTCGAGGCCGTAGCCATAGCAATACCATCCCAGTGCACACAAGACCTCTACTCTTTTTTTTTAGCAACAGAACATAGTTTTATTGTCATTATTATTTACAATTTATATGCCAACTATTATCCTCCGAATTTTACTTATGTTGGCAAACAGTACTATTTCATTTACTCTTTCAAGCTTTTATAAATTAGATATTGTTATGATGATCCTCATCATCATCCTCATTTTATAGATGAGGAAACTGAGGCTCAGGGAGGCTAAGTCACTTGCCCGTCTCTTGTGGCTGGTAAGTGGTAGAGGCAGGTTTGTCGGGCCGGCAAGCATTTGCCGTATACCACTGAGCCAGAGAACCTACAATTACGTTCTGTTTTTTTTTTTTAAATTGTGGTAAAATACACATAACATAACATTTACCATCTTAATCATCTAAAACATTTTTAGTTACAGTTTACTTTCAATATTATTTTGTATTGGTTTCAGAGCCTTTCCGATCTTAAAAAGCACTTTCACATTTCTTACAGTATCTCAGTGGATATAATTGCATCCATTTTACAGATGGGAAAACGGAGGCTCTGAAAGATACAATCAGTTGCTCATAGACACCCAGTCAGTCAGAGGCAGAGATGATATTAAAAGATAGAACTCATGCCCCTTTTTATGGTTCCTTCCTCCCGACTCACTCCAAGAATCCTTGCCTCCCAGGACCCAGCACCGCCAGTCACAGGTGGCCTCGGGGACTTCCTGTTTGGAGAACTGGGGGTAAATGGTGTTGAAAGGCAGAGGGTCTGCTTGGCGGGGTGGGGGACGGGTACCGGGAGATGCCAAGCACCCTCCTTCACACGGAAGGGCACCAGGAGGTTGAGGCTGTGTCAGGACGTGTGAGATGTGGATCTTTCCAGATCTTTTCCTTACCTCACACTGGCTTCACACACGAATTCCCACACACCCCCTTGCAGCACTTGAGATTGTTTAGGCAGTGGCTGTCATTCTGGCAGTAGTTTCTTGGGTTGAGCATCTTACACTGGCCGATGACCACTGGACACTTTCCAGGATTGACCTTCACTGGTGAGAAGAAAGCGCCATCTCAGGGCCTTGATCCCCTAGACACCACCCAGCCCCCACCCCCATCTCTACCCCACTTCAGTACCCAGACAGACTGGTGCACATCCCGAAGGAGACCCCTCCCACCAAGGGAGCCCCTTTGACCGTGGGAGCCCCGACCACCTGAGAGTGCAGAGCTGGGTGGGGACAAGCCCTGGCTCCGCCCCCCATCCAGCCCCATTCAGGGACTCCCCTCCACTTCTCCCAGATGGGTGTCCTCAAGCTCAAGTCTTCCTGGCCCCCCTTCCAGGATTCTACTGCCTCACCTGGCTGTGACGGGTCCACAGGATCCAAGCATTTGATGCCACAAAGGTCGCGACAGCATTTCTGCTTCTGTGGACACTGCCAGTCACTGTTGCATTGAGGGGGTTCGTATACAAGACATATGGTTCGGGGGAAGAAGGGGCAGTCTCCCTGCTTAGCTTTTCCTGAAGGGTAAGAACAGAGGAGGGAGCAGGAGCTGATTCTGAGTCGTGGCCACCATCCTGGCCAAGGAATCAGCTTCCCAGAAAGGGGAAGGAAACCCAACCCAGGTGGCTGACCCCGAAAGAACGGAGGGAGCGGCTCAGCTGAGCACTCAACCAAGAGGGGGTCAAAGGCCCAGAAAGAAGCTGCAGAGCGCGGCGTGCTGATACATGCTGTAAGAAGCAGACTTTGTAGCATTTGCCAATTTCCATGGTGTAAATACTCCCACCACGATTGATTTCCAGCTGCCGATGCGATGTCAGCCAGTTCACAAAAGTCTTGAAAATGTACCAATTGGCCACTGCAGGCCAGCAGGAGCCTTGTCCAGGACGCGGCTGCACAGAGCTCGTTAGGTGAGCCCGGCCCAGCGAGAGGGAGAGGTCCACCCTGGCTGGGAGGGAGGCAGTGAAGGGACAGCGACAGTAGGAGGGACAGCCCATCAGAAACCGAAAGAAAGACAGCAGATCGACAGATAAATAGCAGAAGAGAAAGGGGCCGTCAGAAAGCTCTAAGACACACGTTTAGAAAATTAGACAGAAGGACACCAACATGATGTGACAGAGAAAAAAGACCAAACAGTAGAAAATTAGGGGCCAGGGGCCAGACCCTTGGAAAGACGCCTTCCAGGTCAGCCCGCAGGCCCCTGGATGGCCCGAGGGGCTCGGACTCACCTTTGCTAGCACCTTCCACAGCCCGGGACATCAGGGCTCCGAGGGCCAGGAGCACCACGAAGGCCACGAGGCTGGTGAGCTTCATGGTGAGGGCAGGTGGGGTTACGGGCCAGCGTCAGCCTCGTCCCTTATACCACAGCCCGTGGGCGTGGTCCCACCCGAGCTGCCCCGCCCTCCCTGCTGCGATTTCATAAGCCGGCAACTCAGACAGAGAAGGTGACCTTGCCAACCGCCCCGAGGGTCGGTGGCTCTTTCCCACCCCAGACAAGAGCGTCAGGCCTAGGAAGGAAAATGTAGGACTTGGAGGGGGAGGTGGCAGGGGGCTGGTCAGGAAGCCACACTTTAGGGGACCCTTTGGGGTGGGGAGGGGAGGGGGAAAGGGGCGAGTAAAGAGCAGAACGGAAGGACATTGTGAAGGAGCTTCTTAGAAACCCGTCTATTTCACACTCCGGGCTCCTGGGGATTGCCCAGGGCCACTCCCTTCCCCAAACTTGAGGTGGCACCCTCACCCTGGCTCTCTCCTGACTTGTGTCCACATCGTACCTGCAGTTCCAGGTTCTCTGCCAGTCACAAGGGGGTTTCTCAAAGAATCCTCGTTATGTAACAGGTGAAGCAGGTACAGCAATGAATCCCTCTTCCGGCCTCAGTCTTAGCAGCTGTGAAGTGGGGCGGGGGGGGGGGTAATAAAAACTGACCAGGTGCCCGAGCAGGATTTGAGATACAAAGGTGGAAGGACATTGAGGAGACTGAACACACTCCTCCTTGAGGCTGATGTGAAGGAAATGACATTTGAGCCACTTTTTCTGAGATCAGCTGAGAGGATTCTTCTCAGCGGCCAGGGGAGCAGCCGAGGGGGTGAAGGAGAGCTGTTGAACATGCCCAGACCCTCCCCCCCACACCCCAGACGAGCCCCACTGCCCTTTCATTGGTAAGGAAGGCTCTCATTTACCGAGCACTAGCTGAGTGCAAGGAGGTCAGGGTGAGCAATTCTAAATAGCAGAGGAAAAGCTATTAAGGTGAAATAAAGAAAAAAATGCATAGGATTCAGGAAATAGAATATAAAGGAGAAAAGAAGGGACCTCCCATCCTGCGTCGCTGGTGACAGAAGATCCTAGAGTGACAGGTGAGGACCGGAAATACGGGGCCACCAGCCCGGACCGGAGCAGGCCAGAGGTCTCTAGGAAATACATCTTCTGGCAGGTGGACTGAATAGAACACCAGATGCATGTGCATGCACGGAGGGGAGACTTTGGTAGCTGGTGAAGAGTTGTGGTTGAATAGGTGATGGGGAAGCATAAGGGCATATAAAACTAAGCAAAGGCGAAACTCACAATTTTCCATTTCAGAACGGATACAAAAGTCGAGCCCCCAAGGGAACGTGGTGTAGTGTAGGGCACAGCTCAGCTGTGGTCCGTGTCTGCCCAGTCATGACAATGGGCACGGTGGGGCCGATGGAATGAAGATGCTCATGTGACTTTAACGGGAGGGAGGGGGATGGAAGGGTGAGCCTGCCTGCCTGCCGCGGGTGTTGGCGGTGGGGGGGAAGAGGTGGTGGGAAACCTCCTCTTCCGTCGCGGGAAGTCAATAGAGGATAAAACTGGACCGTCAGGATGTAGCACGGCAGGAGTTCTGCTTGGAGACCTGGAGGCGCGTGCCAGTAAGATCAGCCCGATGGTTCCCTCTGGGGTTCCCAGCGGGGTTGTGTGGGGGGGCGGGGGTGGGCGCTGCGTTTCTCCCAGCTGTGTGACTCTTCGGTCTCCCTGTACGTATAGCTCTGGTAAAATAAAGACAAATATTTAAAAAGCCTCTCATTTCTGTTATTTCGCTTAGCTCGCGTGAGGACGTGCAGTCACCCAGGTAAGTCACTAAGCGTCATTCTCCTTAGGATAGGGTTCCTTTGTACATAAGACTCTCTCTCTCTCTCTTTCCTGTGCTCCGTCTTACCCTGCACTTAACAGTTTCTTCTTCTTCTTCTTCTTTTTTAAAGATTTAATTTACTTTTAGAGAGAGGGGAAAGGAGGGGGAGAGAGAGAAACATCAATGTGGATGTGCAAGAGAAACATCCATTGGTTGCCTCTCGCACGCCCTCAGCCGGGGATCTGACCCACAACCCAGGCATTGGCCCTGACTGGGAATCGAACCAGAGACATTTCATTTTGTGGGATGATGCCCAACCCACTGAGCCACACCAGTCAGGGCACTTTCTTTTCTTTTTTCTTAAAAAAAAATTATTGGTTTTAGAGAGAGAGGAAGGGAGAGAGAGAGAAGCATTGATGTGAGAGAGAAACATCGATTGGTTGCCTCCCACACATGCCCCAACCGGGGATTGAACCTGCAACCTAGGTATGTGCCCTGACTAGGAATCGAACCCCCAGCCTTTTGGTATATGGGACAGTGCTCCCACCAACTGATCCACCCAGCCAGGGCAGCACTTACCACCATCTTAATGATCATCGGGGCCAGTTTATGGAAATGCTTCCCCATGAGAATATAAGGTCCTAAGGGAGAAGGACTGTGCCAGACTTGTCACTGTTGTGAAAGTCACCCTGTTGTGAAATTCACTCAGTGTGCCATCCTATGAGTTTTAACAGAGGCCGTGGAACCACCACCACAATAAGAGAGAGGTTTTTTTGCCACCCCTCAGAACTCGCTTGCACCCTGGTGGTCAGTCCCTTCCTCTGCTCCCAGCTCTCGGCAACGACAGGGGTGTGTTCTATTCCCATAGTCTGGCCTTTATGAGGCTGTCATGGAAACGGATCAAACAGCATGTAGCCTTTTGAGTCTGTCTTCTTTCACTTAGAGTGATGTATTTAAAATCGGTTCCTTTTCCGTGCTGCGTAGTATTCCATGGTGTGGCCAGGGCACGGTTTGTGTGTCCACTGCCCAGCTGAAAGATACTCTGTTTGCTGTGTTTTTGGTGATTATGAATAAAACTACTATAAGCATTCATGTCCAGGCTCTTGTGTGGCTATGTTTACATTCCTCTTGGTTAGCTCTAGGAGCAGGGTCAGCTGGTGGTATGGGAAGTGTGTGTAAACTTTAGAATAAAGTATCGCGTTGTTTCCAGAGTGGCTTCCCATTGTGTGGTCCCGCCAGCAGTGTGAGAGGTGTGATCGCGCTGAGGTTTTACTTTGTATTTCCCTAAAGACCAACAGTGAGGGAATATTTTTTTAAGATTTTTTTTTCAAGAGGGGAAGGGAGGGAGAGAAACATCAATGTGTGGTTACTTCTCATGTGTCCCCCTGTGGGGACCTGGCCCACAACCCAGGCATGTGCCCCTACCGGGAATTGAACCAGTGACCCCTTGGTTCGCAGCCCATGCTCAATCCACTGAGCTACACCAGCCGAGTCTGAGTGAATATTTTCATGTGCTTGTTTGCCATCCGCGTGTCTTCTCTTCTTCGATGAAACAATTGTTTGAACCTTTTACCCATTTTTATTGGGTTGCTTGTTTGCTTCTTACTGAGTTTTGAGAATTCTTTATACCCTCTGCATAGAAACACTTTAACAGATATGGATTTCGCCAATATTTTCCCCCAATTGGTGGCCTGTCTTTTATTTAAGTGTTTTTCGAAGAGCAGCAGTTTTTAATTTTGATGAAACCCCAATTTGAAAATGGATGAAATCATTTTTTCTTTATTATGCTTTTGGCAACAGATGGGAGAAGTCTTTGCATACCACAAAGGCACAAGGATTTTTTTCCTTTTGTTTTCTTTTAGGGCCGTGTCTCCCAGCTTCAGCAGGTCATCTCCCTACCTGGGCCCAGGGATCCTTCCAAGGGGCCAGGCCGCCACGGGCCGTCCTCCGAGGCCCTGCGCCCCGAGGACTGTGGCCGGTGGTGTTGCGGGGATGAGGGTCTTGCTGGGGGTCACATGTGAGCAGCCCCCGGCCCGTGAAGGCAGAGCTCCGAGGGATCTGGGCCACGTAGCGGGGGGCGGGGGTGGTGGCAGGTGGGCCATGGATCTGAACCTGACCTTTCTTCTTACCTTCCTCGGGGACAACGCACCACTTCCTGCCCTGCATGGGTAGGTCTTCGGGCTGTGTCAGCACTGAGCATCATTTTTGCAATTGTTTGGGGGGTCAAGCATCTAACCAGTGCCTTTTGCCACTGAACACCTCCCAGGCCTCACCTGAACTGGACAGAGCAGGTCCAGAGCTTGAGACCCTCTGCTGTGCGGGACCACAGCCCCATCTTGTCCTGCTCCATAGAAGCCAACCCCTCTCCCCTGCCCCCAGTCCCCAAACTGAGGCCTAAGCAACCCAATGAAAGAAGGCCGGGTTCTTTTAATCCAGTGTGCCACAGGTGGACGGACCGCTGGTCAACCTACAGGCAAGACGACTACCGTCGATTTCACTAACTGATGGAGTGACCAATAAAATAAGATTTACAAACTTGGCAGCAGCAGAGAGCCAGCCCTACCTGGTTCTTGTCCCCAGCCAGATTCAGAGGGACTCTGGCCTGTACCCCAAGACTTACAGTCCTCAGTCTCAGCCTCTGCCCCTTCCTTGCAGGTAGGATCCTGTCCCCGGGCTCAGCAGGTTTGCAGGCTTCGTGGGACAGCATGCTATGCGCAGTGGGGCAGCATGCTACACACAGTGGGACAGCATTCTGGGCAGCAACACTCACACGGGCACAGTGAGGGCTGACACACCTGGCGCCACTAAGGGGCAACAGGAGGGCAGGCTCCGGCTTCGTCTTCCTCTGAAGACAGACAGCGTGAGAAGGAGGGAGGTGGGTTTTACAAGGGCTCAAGAGACCATCTTCCAAGGAGGTGAAAGGAGTCCCCAGAAACCAGGGTTGTGGGAGAGCAGTGAGGACCCAGAGACAGGCGAGGGGGCAGTAAGAGGGCAATGAGGGGTCCCTGGCTGGAGACGGAATGTGTAGGGGTCGCATTCAGGTGTTCCCGGCCCAGGGAAAGATAAAGAACAGAAGATGATGGAAACAGAGAGGGGAGAAAAAAAGACCAGCACGTGAAAACATCAGGACAAAAATTCAGAGCTAGAGACCAAAATACTGGCAAAGAGAGAGAAAAAGTACAGCAAAAAAATTTAAATGAACCATCAGTTTTTAAAAAGCCAGAGAGACTCAGAGGGGGAGTGAGATGAAGAATAAGAGAACAAAGGAAATGTTGAAACGGAGCACAGTGAGGCAGAGCAGAACATGGATAGGGCGCATGTGGTGGACAGAGCTCTTCAGCTAGAGGATCATTTCAGGTGGTCCAGACGAACTCCCGGATGAAGCCCTGACCGAGAACTTGGTCCCTGTTCGCCGGGGCTCCCTTGCCTGGGATGCCCAGTGCAAGGGCCTGACTGAGTGCTGGCCGTAAGAAAAGGAGAGGCGATCACCCGCCAGGTGGCCAGGGTCCCTTCCTCTCTGAACCATTCCAACAGGTGACTTTAGTTCAAGCCCGTTCGGTCCCCCTGACACTCTCCTAATACTGTGCTGTGTTCAGAAACTCCTGCCCCACAACCCTCCCTCCTTCCCTCCTCCTTGGAGGGAGTGAGCCCTGCATTGCGGTCTGAGGACTCTCCTCTCACCTCCCATTGACCCCTCCAATAGGCGTTTCCCCCAATCAACTCTTCATTGTCTACTCCGATCTTGACATCCGCTTTTCAAAGGCCCCAGATGCACCTGCTCGCCCTTCGTTTTTCTTTGCCTTGTTCAGGCAATGAAGGGAAAGAAAGTGGGCAGGCAGAAGAAGGTCAGGAAAAGAAAAAACCACTTGTTCTTTCTAATAGCGATTACTATCAAATGAAGATGGTAAGTAGACTCCATTGAAAACACTAAAAAAGTGAGGTCTCCATCTTATTCAAATGAGAATATTTATCATAGACCTAAAATTTTTATCACTTACAACTATGTAAATTATGCTGGAAATATCGTATGTCAACTTGAAACATTCTAGGGACTATGCTGTTTTTTTAAAAAAATATTGTTTAAGATACATGAATCCCCAAAATTGATTTTTTGTAGATTGTGCTTCACACCCTGAAATCCCTGTGTGGACCCTACTCAAGACAGACTCACATAGCAGGAAGTGGGAAAATACAAGGCTAAGTAACACTTCAATATTATTGGCTAGATTAGGGGTTAACACCACCCCCCCCCCCCCGCCCAGATTAAGAGTCAAGGTAGTTAAGGTGGGCAACGGATAGATCTTTCTTTTCCTGATTTATACTGGCCCAAATTTTAGACCCTAAGTGTAGCCCAGAACTGAGGCACTGTTCTCCTCCATTTCCAGCCAAAGCCCCAAATCCAGTCCTAGGTCACACTGCTCCAACAGGCGGAAAGGCCACCAGCAGCAGCGTCAGAGAAAATGGAGCAAAAAGCCTCGCTCCTCCACCTCAGAATAATGTGTGCACCTTTCATGGGATCCACACCCAGAGAACAGGACTCAAAATGCCCCAGGGCCCCAGGTCAGATTTTGGAATCTGACCAACAGAGGATCCGAGTGTGAGAACACGCTGGAAGAAAGAAACACACCAGAAAAACAGAAGTGCAGGAACTGATTGAAACTACATGGGAAACGGTGCCCTCATCCTTTATTATTATTTTTTAAACAAACCCTAAATGAAATGATCTTCCCGAGAGGCTAAAGACAGGAATGGGGGGGGGGGAGCGGAGAGAGAGAGAGAGAGAGTGCACACGCGAGCAAGATCCAGCAGCCACAGATATTCAAGGACAGTCGTTGTAAATATGTAACACTTTATTTCTTTGTGTTGTTGTCATACGAATAAGCACTGAACTCGGACAAAAGGAAGCCTTGGGGGTGAGCAGAACGTGGGAGAATTGGAGACCAGTTATCCGGGTCTGAGCCTGGGTCACCAGTGTCTTCTCTGGCCTGGTTAAGAAGGGGTTTCTACCTGAGAAGGGAAGACAGAACCGGAGCTATAAAATGGTGCAAACCGTGCAGGGGACCTGGACCGGGTCCCAGGACAGCTGGGGCCTGACTCCTGCTGGGTACTCTCCTCCCAGGAGCCCTGAGAATCGGGGCCTGGGCATCAGCAGTTCTAGGTAAGCCATCCTAAGGAGTGACACAATCTTATAATCCTTCACTTCACAATTTAAATGGGAAGAGGAAAGTGATTCATTATTACAAGCAGAAAGGACAATTGAAAACAGCCATGATAAAAACTCAGTAACAGCTGAGGCGTTTCAAGATCACCTCCCCCAAATGTCCCCATCCTTCCCAGGAGAACAGGAACGCCCATTACATGAAAATGAACTGTGTGTTTTCTGAGCCAAGAGGTCTCTCTACGCCCTTCAGGCAGATTTCAGGGCAGATCCCAATTGAAAAGCTCTGATCGCGAGAGTTCCCAAGGGCACTGGCAGTTCTCAGCCCCCTCTGGGGCACCTGGTTCTCCGGGGACGTTTCTGGGGCAAAGTCAGGAAGGGGAAGGGGAGGCCTCTTACTTCAAACCACGGGTCCATACACTGGTTACGGCAGTTGTAGAAACAGCACTTCTTGGACTTCTTGCAACCTTTGTCGCGATGGCACAGAGGTAACATCATGAAAGGGCAGGAAAGTGTGAACTCTGGGCAGTATCCAGGTTTGTTCACGGCTGAGGAACGAGGCCACGGGGTGAGTTGGGGGCAGCCGTGCATCATGGCTGGGCAGCCGTGCCAGCGGGTACCCAGGACTCCTGGGAGGAAACGTTCCCCACCCCAACCAACCACACACCACACACGGGACCGCCTTGCCCTACACTCACCTTTCGTCCTCCCAGGCTGTGCCACGTGGAGGCGGAGGAGGAGGAGGACGAAGGTCATGGTGAGTGCAGAGAGGCTGCTCCGCTTCATCTTGCAGATCCGTGTGGGTGAACGTTGAGGCTCAATCTGTTTATATCTGCTATGCAGGGGCCCGCCGGCAGGGGGAGCTGTAGATCCCACCGCCCGAGGTCAGGAGCGACTTGATTTGACCTTTCCTATCAGCTGTTTCTTTCACCGCCCGCAGAGGCTCTGTAATAACCTCTGGGCATAACTCCGAGAGCCCACGGGCGCTTCTTCTTTGCCAAGCAGCGTCCTGGCTGGCCCTTCATAATTCTTGCTCTATGCAGTGGAGTTCGAGGCAATGGGAGGCCATTGTCCTTCCCAGGGCCGGCCGGCCGGCCTTCCTTCCTTCCTTCCTTCCTTCCTTCCAATTAAAGTATAGTTGACATATATTATTTTGTTAGTGTCAGGTGTATAGCAGTGATTTGATATTTATATACCTTATGAAGGGATCCCCACAATAAATCTAGCAACCATCCATCACCACACAAAGTTAATTGCAATATTGTATTCCCTGTGCTGTGCATTGCGTCCCTGTGACTGACTTCCTTTCTAACTGGAAGTACCCCTTATTCCCCTTCACCCTTTTCACCCCTTCCCCCACCCTCTGGTAACCATTAATTTGTCCTCCATCTCTACGAGTCTGTGTCTGTTTTGTTTTCTTTAGATTTCACATACCAGTGAAATTACATGGTATTTTCTCTCTCTATTTGACTGACTTCATTTAGCATAGTACTCTGTGGTCCATTCATGTTGTCGCAGATAACAAGATTTTGATCTTTTTCACAGCTGAATAATGTTCCGTGGTGTGTATGCAGTACCACATCTTTGCCCATTCACCTGTCCCCAGACCCCTAGGTCGCATCTATATCTTGACTGCTGTAAATAATGCTGCGGTGAACATAGGGACACATACATCTCCTTGAATTTTGTTTTCTTTGGATAAATACTCAGAAGTAGCATTGCTAAATCATGTGGCAATTCTTTTAAATTTTTTTGAGGAAACTCCCTACCATTTTCCATAGTGGCTGCACCAATTTACAATCCCACCAACAGTGCCCAAGGGTTCCCTTTTCCCTACATCCTCGCCAACCCTTGTCGCTTGTTGACTTTCTGATAACAGCCATTCTGACCGGTGTGAGGTTTCTGTCCTTTCTTTCTGGTGCAATCTCATAGCTACCTCACTGTGTTTTTTTACCGTGCATTTCCCTGCTGTCGTCTAGCTGTGGCTTGGCCAGCCCTCTGTGCATTTCAGTCAAAAGTTAGGGGGAAAAAATCCTTCCCAATTTGTTTAACAGGCCAATAACTCAAAGTGTCTGCACGTCTAATCTCAAGACGTTTATTTTCAGCTCCACAACCCACTTGTGACCTCCTGTTTTCAAAGAACTTTGGTATTGCAACTTTGATACCAAAACATGACAAGAATATTACATGCAAGGGAAACTTTATGCTAATCTTGCTAGAAAAATAAGGCAAAAATCCAGAACAAAATATTAGCCAATGAATTTTGCCATACATAAAAATGGTGACTCATCATGAACAAGTGAAGTGTTATTTCAACCAGGTATAGTTGGTTTAACATTCAAAAGCAGGTCAATGGAATATTCCCTATTTACAGTTACAGGGGAAAAATCATATGATCAGTAGTAAAATATGTGAAAAGTCACTTAATCAATTAATAATCAATTATCTATTAATGATAGAAGAATATAATGGTACAGGATTAGAAGTTCACTTTACTTTGATAGCAGGTTTCTAAAAAAGTCCCCTACCACAGAGGGAAGGACTTTCAGAAAGCCTCTAGAACAGGCTGACAGTGACCAGAGGGGAGAGGGGAGGGAATTTCAGGGGAATTTCCGGGGAGAATGGGAAGCGTTTACAGGAACAAATATAAAGGACACATGTACAAAAACTAGGGGGGGTGGAAATGGGAGGGAGGTAGGGGGAGGAGTGGGTGGGCTGGGATGGGAGTAAAGGACAGAGAACTGTACTTGAACAATGACTAAAGTAAAGTTAGGGGGAAAAAAAAGAAAGCCTCTAGAACACTAATACATATTGTCAAGGATCAATCTTCTCAGAACTCTAGAATTTAACCAAAGGCTCACAACAGTCCCTGGAGGGTCCACTCAAGAAAAACAGGTGAACCTCAGCAAGAAGAGGGCGCTGACCTCTCCCACTCCTATCCCTACCTTCCCAGCTGTGCGGCAGCCTCGCGGGCAGCCGGCCTGCGCTGCAGCTGGTGGGGAGCAGCTGTGAGGACCAGCGGCCCAGCCACCTCTGCAGGGGAGAACAGAGTTGACGCTTCTCCGAAGCCCCGTCTCCAGAAAACTGTCACTCTGTGGCCTGTCTGGGAGCTTCATAAAGAGTTCCATTCTCAGGGCGTGTGTTTGTTTCACCTAACTCAGAGCTTACTTTGGGGGGTCAATTCCATCCTTGGGCCAATTTTTTGACATCATAGCTGCTTCAGACAGTGAGGCCCACTGGCGCTGATAAGAAACTGGCCAAAGAAACAGAGAAGGAAAAAGTGGGGAGTGAAATGTCTGGGAGGTTTTGAAATTTCCTTTCTTGCTCCTGGGGGTTCAGAAGGCTGCACGTGTGTGGGGTTGCGCCCGTGCCCGGGGCTGTGTAGAGGCCCCAGGCACTGTGAAATGAGCGGCCTGGCCTCCTAACACCCATCTTGCGTGAGGAAGAATCGAGATTCTAAGCAAAGGTCTCTGCCCGGTGAGGAGTCAGTTGGCAAGAGAAGAGCTGAAAGATCACTGACAAGACACCAAAAGAATGCAGAACACTTGGCCTTCTGTGGAGTGTCCGTTTATAGCTGAATTGTTCCTGTCTTCTCCCCAAATTTGCATTAGCTTTGACTCTCTGCTTTGGTTGGAGTCATTCTATGATCCTGAAATTCCTGCTGCAAACTTGATTTCTGGTTCAGGTAAAACGAATAGATCAGCGAGTCCTTTTTTATTTTTTTAAGGCTGAGTCCTCCTGACTTAGTCAACATCCTACAGAAGAGAAAAAAACACATTGGGACAGGTAGTTCCCTGCCTCAGGTGTGCCCTTGACTCCTAGCATGCACTTGAACGGCACCCTACACTTTGGTTTCCCCATCTGCAGGATGAAGGTGTTTGTCTGGATTCTGCCAAAGGGGACTTTCAAGTCCAAATCCAGTGGAAGACGGTGGCACAGGGCCTCGGGGACAAGCCGAGAAGTGTGCATTGTTTGCATGACCCCTGTCACGTCGGATGCCTGGGGGCGGACACACGTGGCTGGCTAGAACAGAGTCTCCTGGATGAGGAGATTCTGCACACGGAGGGCCTCAGAAGAGGCCAAAGAATGTCCAGCGATGCTCAGTGACCCTGGCTGCTCAGCCTTCCGGGTGCACGCAGAACTGAGCCTGCAGATAGGACCTCAGAGTTACAGCTCGAGGAAACTCCTCTGCGGGAGAACGCTCTGTCTCTGGCGGAGCCTGCGAGCAGCCGGGCTGTTCCCGATCAGCCGTGAACTTGAGGACTGCAGGGCTCATCCGGGGCACCTCAGCAAGCGTCTCTGGGTCGTTTCCTGAATCTCTGCAGCCCCAGAGCGTCTTATCTTCCCCATCATTCTTGCTCTCTCCCTTCCCCTTCACGCAGAGTTGAAAAATGCCTTTTATGAGGCGGTAGGTGGTTTGGTGCGTAGCAGCCAAGAGGCCTTGGAAGCCTGACTAGTTCCAATCTCCTTCCTTTTTAGAGCTGGTTAAACTCTAGGCCAGAAGCTGGGCTTGAACACAAAGTGCGGGGCGAGTGCGTCGCAGCCGCCCCGGTGCTCACGGTGGGCATGAGAATGGTTTGGACAACTGTCACTGCTTGGCTGCTGTGCAGGAAAACACCGTCCCTATCATTAGAGCGTTTCCACCGGTCAGTCTTGGGAGTGGGAGGCTGAGCCCATGTTCCCCACCGAAGCTGGAAGGCCCACATGCCTGCTTTCCCTGCAGCCACCCCACGTGCATGTGCACTGGTTCAAAGGACACACGCAAAGGCTCTGTCATGGATGTGAGGACTAGTGACGGTAAGTGGCAGACACGGAGGAAGGACACAGTTAGAATGTACTCCGGCAGCCAAGGGCTGCAGCGTCTCACTCTAGGGAGAGGAGTGGAAAGTGATGTCCACAGCTGTGGCACTGCTGGTGCCGCACAGGGTGTGACACCGCCTGCCCAGAGGCAGCGGTGGCGAGCTCTGCTGTGATACGGCAGTTAAAGGTTAGGGGACAGGTATTACGGATGCACGGGTGCCTCTGGGAAAACACCGAGCTGCAGAAAGGGACAACGTGGGGCACAGAAGCTGAGCGTGTGACCTGTGGTTAAAATAAGGGCCCACAGAGACTCTCCTCTCCTGTCGCTCCTCGGGTCTGCCCGCCCCCAACTTTATGCCTCCAGATTACACTATTCAACGTCCCTACTAAAGGATGGAGGACTTGGTGTGTGTTGTCTCCTCACTCACACCTTAAAATAGAATGTGGGAGAGGATATTGCTTAACCCAAAGGAGTTACGTGTTGTTAATCGAGGCATCTCATGCACAAACAAGCAAAATACCCAGATGTCCATTTCCTGGTGATACGGAGACTGTAGTTCTTGGTGTGATTGTGGGATTCCTGATACGAAGCCCGAGGACTGTGCCTCTTGCTCCCACCCCGAGCTCTCCGTCCTTCCCCCACAACCCCCCGGACCAGCTCCCCTCAAGCCGCTCGCCCCACCCTCCCTGGAGAGCAGGAGTCCCAGCCCCACACCCACCTCCAGGAGCTACCAGGAGCACAGAAGTCACAGGAACCAAACGAATGGTGCAGGAAACAGTCTTTTATTAGAAAGTCAGTGCGAGAAGCAGCCCCAGGCCTGGGCGTGCTCAGCGAGAGGGAGAATGAGCAGTGTGGGAAAGGGGTGTGCTACAGGGACCGGGGAGGCCAGCCCGGGGGGCTTGGCGGGTGCGGCGAGGACAGGCTCCACCTGGTAGGAGAGAGGACAACCAGGGAGGTGACTCAGCAGGTCGGAGCACTCAGAGGCTTGGATGTGAGGTCCACACATCATGCCTCTCAGGACCCCAGCTACAGCCTCCAAGACCCCTCAGCCTCCCCCTCACCGACCAGTACCCTCCCTCCCACCCACCGAGGACCATCCCGCACCACCCGGCCTTCTCCGCGCCCTCGGGAGTTACCCCTTCCTGCACTGGGTTCTCACGTCAGTGGGGAGTCATGCACGCCTTCCCGCACGAGCCCTCGCAGCACTTCTTGGGTCCGGAGCACTCGGAGTCCCGCAGGCAGGCGTTCGGGGGGTTCAACATGGCGCATCTGATCAGGGTCTTGGGGCAGGTGCCCCGCTTGATGCCCACCTGGTGTGGCCCGCGGGTCTTGACCGGACCCTTCCCTTTGGCTGGGTGTTGACCTCCAAATGGACCTTGTCCTTTGACCAGAACATGGCCCTTGTCTGCTTCTTGACCTTTATAAGGAACTGCCAAAAGAAGAAATGTATTCACGCTTAGACCCCGTGTCCCTGCTTCAAATATCTCATCCCTATCCAGCCGCTGTTCACTCCAGTGCCCCCAAACGGTGACCTGAGATGGGGAGGGTCACCAAGGCTGACCCAGGTCTGTGGTCTTGGAAGGCGACTCCCTGAGCTTTGCAGGGAGGGCCTACAAGTCCAAGGTTGCCTCCAGTGTCCTTCTCTTGGCCACCCCTCCATCCCAAGTCCAGCTGCTCTCTCAGGAGGAGATGCCAGACTGGGGTGACTCCCAGCTGAGAAAGACACCTTGTCACTTCCAAGGACACCGGTGAAGGGGAGAAGAGCCCTGAGACAAATGGCCCGAGATTTGAGTTCCACCTGGCCCTGGAGATGGCCTCGGTGATTTCTCCCTCCTCTCTGGGTCCCGGAGCCCTCCTTGGTAATATGGCGGTCTTCAAATTACACGGCTTCTAAGGCCCCGTTGGTTCTTAACCTCCTCTTAGAGGACTGACGACTCTCAGGTGCTTTTACGGGGCAGTCAGGCAGGCGACAGACCCCACACCCAGGGCCCTGCGCTTCCTCACTGCATTCTGCGTATCGCAGACACCACAGCACCTGAGGCCATGGCCACACTTCTTCCACAAACAGTCCTCAGTCCTGGGGTGACAAGCTCCTGGGGTCCTGGGCAACTGCCCGCTTTTTCTGGATATGATGGAAGTAACCACAGGCTGACCTGTAGGCCTGGACCCCCTGGGGCTGCAGAAACGCTCCCCGCCAGGACCCAGGTTGCCCCTGACAGCCTCTCCTCGACCCACCCTGGCCCCGGTGGGGCACCTGTCCACTCACCCCCGACGACAGCTGCGTGCACTGCCAGCGCCCCGAGGACGACCAAAACCACCAGCACCAGGAGACTGCTAGACCTCATGTTGTCAGGAGGGTGTGTGGCTGAGAGCAGAGGCCAGGCCTGTTTTATGTTGCCGCAGCCTGGCCCGGTGCCAAGGGCGGGTCTGTGGTTTTACAAGGAGCAGGGCCTACAATTTTGTGGTTCTGCCAGGAACTCTCCACCCCCATCCTGGGAGGGAACCTGGGGCTTTCCCTGAAGATTATTGTTCACAGAGAGAAACGGCAATTGCCGAGTCACCTCCCCTCTGATGGTGCCGAGAGCTGTCCTACTTTCCCACGGGGCTGCGGGGCTGCGGGCCCCCTGGATGCCATCACGGCCACGTTCTTTATATTTAGAAAGAATATGAAGCCCAGAGGAAATCCAGCCCAAGGTCATCCAGCAAGTCAGTGGTCCGCTGTTCTGATCTCAGAACCGGGGTGGTGTTCCCCCATTACTCCTGACCCCACAAGCCCCTCCCCCACCGTGAGCTGCTCTCACAGTTTGCCCCTCCCAGCACCGAGCTGGGCTCCCCTTCCACTCTCCCCTGGCCTGAAGAAAACTCTCGAAGGCAAATTCGCCTTAAAAGTGTCATGGCTAATCACTGCACGGTGCCATTTCACAGTTCGTGTCTGAGAGGGAGCAGAAAAGGAACAGGGCGGATGGAAGTCTGGTTCTGGATGGAAGGGGGCGAAGCCCGAGGAATCACAGCAAGAAGGAGATCACTCGGAAAAGTAACAGGAAGGAATAGAAATTATCCGTGTGGTGGGCATTCTCCTTCTTAGAAGAGCCCCCCATTTCTTCTGAAGGACTCTTGGCTTTTTGTAGTGTCAACCGAAGAGTTTAATGGGGACTGCTCGTCAATCACGAAAGCAGGGGTGCGTGCGCATGCGTGTGTGCCTGGCGCCGGTGGGTCGACTGACATCCTTCATTTGGATGGACATTAAGGGGCAGAGGGAAGGCCCTTCTTTTGGTGAACATGCTACAGATGAGCCTGGGAATCCCAGAAGCTATGGTTCCGGTCTGGGAGGAGTTCAGCTGTGTGAGAGAAAAAAAATGAACCTAGTAGCAAATGCACTGACAGAAGCAGAGGGAAAAGTGGCGGGAGAGGATTCGGCAGGCACCAGCCCACCGTTCACTGCCTGTTCCCCTAAGAGCAGCTTTCCCACGCCCTTCCCACAGTTGGGTTATGACCCAGTGACCTAGCTTTCCGCCTAAGCGAGTCTGACTTGGTATTTTGTCATAGCTACCGACGTTGGGAGGGATAGAAATTAATGCCCAGGAGTTGGGTGTTACCGGGGACAGAACCTGAAATGTGGAAGTGACGGAGTGGGGTTCGGATGAGACGGAGAAGAAAGCAAACTAATTACCGGGTAGGAGGCCAGCGGGCTAATCCCCCCCAATCCTTCGGCTCTGTGGACACAGACAGCGTGTCCACCGATGCCCGCACATTAAGGGTCAGAATAAACAAAGATCAGAATGTTGGAGTCTGTTGGTGACTGAAATTTAAAAGGCAGCTTATTGCAGAATAAACCACACAAACAAAAAGTGTGTAGAACAAACTGCATTCTTTTTTTTTTCTTTCTTTCTTTTTAAATATTTTATTTCTCTTGAGAAAGAGGAAAGGAGAAAGGGAGAGAAACAACAATTAGCTGCCTATCACAACCCAGGTTGTGCTCTCGCAAACTGTGGAACTGGCCTGCAACTCAGGCATGTGCCCTGACTGGGAATCGAACCGGGGACCTTTAGGTTCACAGGCTGGCGCTCAATCCACTGTGCCACACCAGCCAGGGCACAAACTGCACTCTTGAAAGACTAGCATTAGATTCAGCAGTCTGCACTGGCCACCAGGTACAGGAGAAGAATGCTTCCTGAATGTGAACCCCACCGTCCTACCCTCTTGCCCCATGACCCCAACTGCCTCCTTCCTTCCCCTTCCCGACGGTAACCACTTTCCTGGGGTTCCTGTTAATTAGCCCATTCGAGTAGCTTGCCCATTTGTAATGGGGTGTCTATCTTTTTTTCTCATTGGTTTGAGGAGAAAAGAAATTCTCATGCGTTACTAGTGAGAATCTATATTGGTGCAACCTACTTGAAAATGGATTGGGCATCTGCAATTAAAACTGAACATGTTCAAACTCTATGACCCAACAATTACACTCCTCAGCATACACTTGAGATAAATGTCTTCACATGTTCACCAGGAGACATGCACAAGAATGTTCACGAAGGTGCTCTTTCTAGTAACAAAATACTGTAAACCGTCCATATCAGCAACAAGAAATAATGGCCATGCAGATTGTGGCATATTAATACAATGGAATATCTTATAAGTATAAAAAGAATGTGGCTATTTGATATTTATAAATGTAATGTAATTTATAAATATAAATATAAATACTGCAACAAAGTGACTCCAATTAAAATAATGTGGGAAGAAAAGTGCAAGTCCCCAAAGAAAATATTTAGGATTACATGCTGTCATAAGGCTCAAAACTAAGGAAGGCTAAGTAATAAATTGCCTAGGCACACTTATATATGTAGTAAAAGCCAAAAAAGGGTAAATAAAAATGAGGAAACTGTCCACCATGACAGATGCACACAAAGAATATTATATTTCATACATTAACAACACCAGCCAATACATAAAATTTTAATGATTTTTAAAATCGTATAAAAATTATGAGGGGCTTATAAATGAATTTAATAAATTCTGGTCAGAACCACTACAGAGAGAACTCTACGGCTTCGGTAAGAGACATTTTTAGCACTCCCAATGAGAAAGATACACATGCTAATGCACTGGAAAACTCGGTGTGGTAAAGAGGCCAGCTCCCTTCAAACTGGCTTTTAGATTCAATGCCATTCCAACGAACCCCCCAGAAAGGCTTTTGTAAAAGGGAGCCAAAAAGGTTTTGGCAGCATGATTCTAAAATACATACTAAAAAATGCAAAAGGCCAGATAGCCAAGACACTCTTATATAAGAATAATTTAATAGGACTTTAATGCGGCAGCCGCCAAGTTTATTTTAAAGCAGTAGTAATTAAGATAAAGTGGTATTAGAACAATGATAGGTACATATGCAAATGCAACAGGACAGAGGGCCTCAAAAGAGAGGCTTCCATGTGGTGAGGGTATGTTTTTAACATGGTCGTTCTATGTACACATAGCTACAGTTATACCACGAGGGCTGCATGTCTTAACAGCAACATAGTTTCCTGAGTGGCTGATGGGACCAAGGTAAGGAGGGAGAAGCAAAAAAAAAAAAAAAAAAAGAGGAAATAGATAAATATTACTTCATTTAAAAATGCAATTGTCTGATGTGATCCTATTCCATTTATAAGTATCTTAGAAAAAGAACAAATATCGCTAGTTCTCTGCTTACTGACTTCTGGAAATGCCCATGCAACCTCACCAGCAGAGAGAAGCAAGTTGGAGAGTAATAGCTGTGTTTTGGGGATGTTTCAGTACAAGCACAAAACTCCCACGTATGCCTGTGTTTACGTACAGAAAAGAGCAAAGGTATCAAGGAGTCCACACTACGCTGGTCACGGATGAGAATTTCCAACCGGGAAACCTGTGCAAGCAGTTACCACCACCGCGCGGCCAGCCTGTCACAGGATGCCCAGCAGGTGCTGCAGGTCCAGAAAAGCCTGCAAGGAAAATAGCCTGAGGCTGAAGCTGGCCGAAGAGGCTTGGGCTGAACTTGCACAGTGCCACCTGCAGAGGGAGAAGGAGTTCAACGCCAAGGGAGCTGAGGCTCTGGGATCCCCATGGCAGCTGCAACAGTGAAGAGAAGGACAGACGGGAGAAGGTGACCGTCCTCCAGACCTACTTCCCGCCATACAGGGATGACGTCCGGGCTAACCTCTTGGCCGCCGTCGGTGACATCCGGCCAGAAACCGATGAAAACCACCGCCTAAATGGACGGGGGAGCAGAAAGAAGCGCCTGTTCCGTGGGTTGACATTCGAGATGCTTCCCGAGAGTGGGAAGCTTTTGCAAAGCTGGAGTTACATTCTTATGAAAAGGCATTAAGTTATTTCTGTCTGTTCCATAGCAGGTCCTTTTACTTTTGGAGAATAGCAAATCTCGTTTCCTTGTGCAAACTTAGAGCTTATCCGAAGATTTCATCTTTTCACCTCATCTTTCTTAGAAATTTAATGGGTATACATTGTTTTCCGAGCCTTTTAGCTCAAGATATGTACACTGACCTTTTTTTCTTAGATGAAGTAAAAAAATCCTCACCATTTTTAAAGAAAGAGATTTAAAAAATATTTTCCCCCTTTGGCTTTCTTGAAGGTCAGGGTCTTCATCTATGAGAAAGCAGTAGTTACCCGTAACCTGTGTAAAGCCACAGCCAGCCTTGAAACAGCCCTCTCTGGCTAAGGGTTAGACGATAAATATAATTGCTTGGGCTGCTTTCAGTATCTCTTAACCAAAGTTACCAGATGACAGAGTTCAAGAACTTTTTACATGTAATTACTGTGTGTACCGACTGATAGTCATTTAAAAGTAAAGACTCCTTAAAAAAAAGAAAGAAAGCAGCCCTGGCTGGCGTAGCTCAGTGGATTGAGCGCGGGCTGCGAACCAAAGTGTCGCAGGTTTGATTCCCAGTCAGGGCACATGCCTGGGTTGCAGGCTATGACCCCCAGCAACCACATATTGATGTTTCTCTCTCTCTCTCTATCTCCCTCCCTTCCCTCTCTAAAAGTAAATAAATAAAATCTTAAAAAGAAAGAAAGAAATGTTTGCAGGAATTAGCAAAATAGCTACTGCTGAGCATGGAATATTTGGATCGCAGAGCTAGCCCCAGAGCAAACGTAGAACCGCAGAACGCAGACATGGTGAAACTTTGATCAGCTAGGACAAGGGGAGAGCAGGTGGATAAAAGAGTCAGCCCTCTAATGGCTCTATTTGTAATAGTTTGAAGTTTTAGTTTCTGTAAGAGAAAGAAGAGTTTTTAAAAGATATGCTTTTCTAGAAACAGGAAACTTCCACACGGTAAAGCCGTCCATCTTGGCCAACACAGTTTACACCTTCAATGCAACCACAGTCCATACCTGGTGGGTTTGTGTCCCCTAATGAACCACTGACTCAGGTAGTGGTCATCATGGCCTCAAAAATCACTGGGTGAGAAGCCCGACGGCACCCGAGTGTTTACGGGGTGCCTGCTCCTCACCCCACCGTTTGTTGGCGGTTTGTACTAGAAAAGCCCAACTTTACAAGGGGGCATCAGGCCATCCCACCTGAAACACATCCATCTGTCTTTTCGCAACACTGAAAGTGGGTGGGCGAGACCCGTGTGCCTCCTGAGGTGAGAAGGCACACCTGTAACATGTGCACGCCAAGACAGCTGAACTTGAACCTCAGTGAGCCTCCAGAGCTAATAATGTTCACCTATGGAAATACAAAGGGTAGAGAAGGAAGTTGAAAGAAATCACAGGAACGTAACGATGAACATTCTAGAGGACAATTCACCTTCTTTCTTCAACAAATAAACAGCATGCAGAAGGAGGAGGAGGAAGGGCAGGAAGGGAAGCCAGAGCTGGAGGCCAAGTTCTAGGTTAAAGTAAATGTAAGAGACGTTGCACCCAACACAAGGTGTGCGCCTTGTTTAGACTCCGACTCGAATGCACCAATGGCACTACGCCATTTTTGAGACAATAAGATAGAATATTAGATGATGTTAAGACATCAATGCTAATATTATTAGGAACAACAACAACATGGTAATTGTGTGAGAAAATGCCCTTCTTTCTTCAGGAAGTTTCCTGTTTCAGGAAGAGCATATTGAAGTTCTTAAGGGTAAAATGTAGGGTGCACGGGATTTCCTTTAAAATCCTTCAGCAGGGAAGGGGTGGGAATACATAACAAAGAAGTGGTGGAAAGCGTTCATGGTCAAGACTTTCGGTGATGAGATGAACCGTTTCTGGGGCGCTGGCGTCCAGCACGGAGACTACAACCGTCAGTACCGTGTTGTCTACTTGAAAGCTGCTCAGCGTCACGGCCCACTGTCCTCAGCGACAACAAGGAAATGGTCATCTTCCCCCTTCTCGTTTCCTCCATCCTGACGTCTGTAGCTTAGCAGTTACCAACCAGATGCATTCCCTAAAAATGAACAGCTTTCTGAAACCGGCATCCAGGGCCAGGGGTTGTTCACGGGCGGCCTGTGATATTCAGAAGAGGAAACGGAGTTTGGAATTGAGTACCTGTCCCACCCGAACGGTAACTGCGGGAGGTGAGGGCAGTGTTACCCAACTTGTGTTAAGCATCTCACAGTACTTACATGTATCCGACTGCCACGCCTCACACCTTGAACTTACACGATGCTGTGTGTCCGTGACAGCTCGGTGAGGCTGGGGAAAACGTTCTTTGTTGAATCTGGGTGAGGGCCACAGGCGACTTCATGAAAGTACCGCCTGTTCTTTTGTGTGTTGTTGAACATTTTTATGAGGATTTTTTTATAAAAAGCAATAGATTTATGTTTGGAACTGAACACACGATGATTAGGTCAATAGGGAAGGATAAAATACTTAGGACATGGACGATTGAAAATGTAGAACAATGAAGGGTAATGGGACCCTGCCATCACTAGCCTGGATTGTGACGCCGCAACAGTTGCAGAAGCAGTTCTGGCTGGAGAGCCGAGAGTCACAGAGTCACAGGGTCACAGGAAGACGACAGGAAACCCGGGCTTGGCTTGTTACGACGTATAAGACTTAAGATTTGATAAAGTTGTGCTTCCCAACCAATGGGCAAGGTTGGAATGATTTACTAAATGGTACCAGGACAGCCATAGAAAAAAGGCATTGCCCACCTCACACCTTTTGCCCAAATAAATTTCAGCTGGATTAAAGAATTAACATGTTTGGATTTTTTTTAAATCACAAGAGAATTATATAGTGACTTATTATCTGACATTGGAGTCAAAAGGATTTTTTTTGACTGACCTCACATGTCTAATTTGACAAATTTACCCCAAGGAATAGTCAGAGATGTGACTCAGAATGTATCCACAGAGACTGTTGTCACAGCTTTACTTCTGGGAGCAGAAAAGTGGACACCTAGACGTGTCATGAAAGGGAACTGATTAGGCATGTTTTGGCATATCAGTCTTACCAAATACCATGTCACTGTTGGAACTGATGATATTGGAGGACACAGCATTGCCCACAAAAAGTCTAGAAAATAATCTTAATTGAAAAAGCATTTCTTTAAAACACACATGTAGCTTGAAAGCAGTGGAAAAATAGCCTCATAAATAAAATAGCTCCTAAACAAAGCCCCCCAGGGGATGCTAGAATTCCAGAAGTAACGTCAGATCCTGGACTGGAAGGCCCCTGATTCCTGGGATCTTAGGAGTCAGCATTCCAGCTTCAGCCCCAGGCAGAGCTTGCTCTGAGGGCAGCGCTGGACCGGAACATCCTCTTCCCCCTCAGCATCCTCGGTCGGAGGCCCAGGAACTGGTTGGGGGCTGCGGAGAAGCAGTAACAGAAGGCCCAGCTTAGTTGGAAATTAACTGTGTGTGCTTGGCCTGCAGTTTCCTCATCTTCCCAACAGGAGGGGGTGGGGAGGGAGGTCCCGATCTCCTCCAGTTCTGGAAAGGTCCCATGGTTCAGTGGGGTTTCTGTTCGGGGCCCCTGGGAACCCTGAGCCCCAGCTGCCTCTCTTCCACCAAATGATGTGAAATCGAAGGTGGGGTCCTTGGCTGAGATGAGTTTTTGGCTCAGGATCCCTTAGTGCCAGGGAAGGGGTCCCAGAAGCCACTTAGAACCTCTGTGACCAGCAACCTAAGCCAAATCCAAAACTGTGCTTCACGCACTCCCGGCGGCTGAGCCAGACCCAGGCCCGAGGCAATTCTACCAGATGCCACTGGAGCTGAACTCATCACAGGCAGGGAGCGCTGTCCCTCTGCCTCCCGTGGAAGCCCAGGAAGAGAGGGCAGGGCCAGTCTTACTCGCAGTGCCAGCCTGGGCCAGCCTCCTCCCGCCCGGAGCTCCGGCCCTAACCCTAATGCTCCCTAGGCACCCAGAACTCCGCATATCCTTGCCATCCAAAGCTGACTTCTACCCCTGCCTAAGCCACTGCTCAGGCTTCAAGATCATAGAGAGCCAGGAAAGGGGGTATTTGACTCAACAGCCTTCACCCATTATACAGATGAGAAAAACCGAGGCCCAGTGAGGGATAAGACTGGCCCACGGTTACAGACCAATTCAGCAACACAGGCAGGGCTGGACCTAGCCCCCAACTCCCAGGCCCCGCCCCCACCCATCGTCAATTCTTGCACAAGCATCCTTGCGTTGCGGCTCTTGGGCAGGGGGTGGGGCCAGGATGAGGCAGACACCTGCCACTCCATCCGCCCCTTCTCCTTCCTTCTCTTACGCAGCTGCTCCAGCTTCCTTGGGGCCGCAGGTGTTAATTTGGGGGCCCCTGGGCCCTGACCTCATTACGTGCCGAAGCAGAAACATGAGGGCCCAGAGCCTTCTCCTCCTGGCGGCCCTCCTGGGGAGCCAGCTGCCTGCCGCCTCGGGCAGGAGGAACAGAGGTGAGTGTGGGCCGGTTCCTCTGCTCCAGGTACCCAGGGGCTCCCACCCCTCTGGGGAGCGTGAGGGCTTGGGAGAGGCAGGGAGCTCAGTGCGTGTCTGTGTGTGTGCTGTGGGCGTCTGCTTCTCAGGGCTTGCGTTTTGTTTGGGCTTCTTCGTGCCCCCAGCCTGCCCACGTCCGTGCCCGCAAACGCCGCCTGGCTGGTGCCTCCGAGCTCGTCTGGGCCTGTCTTCACAGCCGAGTGCGGGGCCCCGGGTGCACGCATGCCGTCTCTGTGCTGTGCATGTGTATCTTTCTTTGTGCCTCCGTACGTTGTGGGGACAAGCCCGTCTGTACCGCTTCTGCTCTGGTTGTCCCCACGGAGGTGCGTGGACCTGTCATCCTCTGTGGCCAGCAAGGCCGCACCTGGTCTCGTCCCGGCCCGTCTTGTTCCCGTCTGTTTCAGGCCTTCTCCGGCCCCCAGCCCGGTCTGTGGACACGACTCTGGGATTGAGCAGGGGCGTGGTTTCTGGGGTCCAGGACCTGCCGGGAGGACATTGTAGCCCTTCTTCTCTTCTTCCTGCCTCCCCCCAGAAGGCTGGGGCTGACCTGTCATTAGGTGTGGGAGGCGTGGGCTGCCGGGGTGGTTAGACAGGTGCCTCCCACCTGGGCGAGGCCTCCACATCCATGCCCTTCTGGGGCCAGAACCCTCTGACCTACATACGCCTGTGTCACCCCAGCCCTGCCTTGGGGAAGGCGACAGGCATGGGGACAGGTCCCCTCCTCCACAGGGTCCTGGGGAGCAGTTCCCGGCATCCTCTGTGCCCCCTCCAGCCTAGCCCCGGGGACGAGGTGGTTTGGGGAGGATAGTGCTCCGAACCCCAGGCTACAGAGGGAAGGGTGCTGGCAAGTTCCAAGGCCGGACCCCACGCTGGCTGTGACTCACCCATCACCACACTCCTCCTCACCGCAAGGCTATGAGGTCACGACTATTTTTATCCCCACTTTGCAGATGAGGAAACCGAGGCTCAGTAGGAACCAACCTGCCCGAGGCCAAAGACTGACTCTGAGTCAGTGTCAAAGGGGGCCGTTGAGGGCAGGTCTGTGGAATCAGGACCTCCCCCCCGCCTCCCAGACCTACTTCCCGTACAGCGAGGCCTCCCTGCACTAGCAGATGGTGTCCTGGGGAGTAATACACGCTGGTCTCCCCGAACGCCTCGCATCTCCATCCTTCCTGACCTTCCCTGAGATCGCTGCCGGGCTCTGCCGCAGCCCCGGCAGGGGAGGGCAGCAGCAGGGCGAGGGAAGGGACATCTCCGTTTACTCCTGTGACAGCCAGCGCAGTCACCTCGGTGCATGAGACTCACCCCCTCCCATACGCCGGGGGTCTGTGACAGTGAGAGGTGGTGGCACAGGCCCCGGGAGGAAGCGTCTAAAGAGTGTTTCCGGCAGTCACGTTGCATTGCGAAGAGACCCGTGCTGGGCCGCATTCATAGCCATCCTGGGCCACACCTGGCCCATGGGCCATGGGCTGGACACCCTTAGACTTTAAGCCCACCCAATTGCACAACCCAAGTTGACTTTGAGCACTTACTGTGTGAGCAAGGTGCCTACTATGCGAGCAGCCAGCACCCAGTCAGGGGCTGGAGGGGGGAGGCAGACACAAGATGAAGTCACAGCCCCGGATCCAGCTGCCCCTGGTGACCCTTGTCTCAGGTGCTAGACTGAAGTGAAGGCCGGGACCCAGTCCTGTCCCCAGGGCTCAGCGCCGACCAGAGCCGAGGGGAGGGCCGGTCCCAGCGGGCATTGCCCTGGGAGATGAGGACCCCGAACCCGTGTGGGTCTGGGCAACCACTGCCCCTGCAGGCCTTGATTCCTCCCTCTGAATGGAGGGAGATACGGATTTGAGCCTTTGCATGACATCTGGAGATGGCCCAGATCCTAACAAGAGCAGTGGCTAGGTAAAGCTCCGGGACAGAACATTCTAGAGTCATTCAGACGACAGCCTGAGACACCAAGTTAATACCAACCCCTGAAACAATGCCACTTGCAGCAGTGACGAGCCCAGTGCAGCTGCGCTGGGCGGCCGACCGCTGACACAGCTGCGGTGCCGGCTCTCCCTTCAAAGCCCTTTCCGTCACACAGTCCCCGAGCCCCTACAGTTGGTGTCCAGGGCTGCGCTTTGGCCTAACGGTGAGCAGAGTGGGCAGGGGCCTGCTGCCGCAGCTGCTGGCCAAGTGGGAGGGGCAGAGTCACCAACGCCGGAGGAAAGGTCCTTTGGGAGTGTGTGGGGTGCGGCAGGCTGACCTAGTTCATCTGGGGTCAGAGAAGCAGGGTCTCCCCGGGATGTGGTGTTTCCGCTGAGACCCGATGAACGGGGTACAGGAGGGAGCCCCAGGCGAAGGGCAAGGCCAAAGCAGAGAGAAGGGCTTGGGGTGGGGCAGGGGCCACAGGGAGTGAAGGGGATGAGGCCAGAGGGACCGGCAGGGGCCGGACCAGGCGTGGCCTTGTCAGTGCAGGTGGGGATTTGAAACTTTGGTTTGTTCCCCATCCTTTATGCCATCTGAGTCTTAAACCTGCCCAGAAGGAGGTGGGGCTGGGGGGGAGGTGTCCAGTTTCCCATTTCACAGACAAAAACCTGAGGCTTGGAGTAAAAAACAACCCACAACTTGCCAGCCATTTGCGATGTGGACCTCAGTGGCACAAGTCAGACAGAGGAAGACAAACACCGTGTGACCTCACCTACACGTGGAATCTAGAGCTCAAACAAAACAAACAAAACCACAGAGCACCAAGCCCGCAGACACAGGGGACGGGCTGGCGGTGGCCAGCAGCAGAGGGGCGGAGGGACACAGAAAGCACAAACTTCCAGTTACAGAATAAACAAGCCACTCAGAGGCGACGCACACACACACAGCATGGCAGCCACAGTGGGTCGCACTGCAGTGCACACCTGGAAGCTGCTCAGAGAGTCGATCTTACACGTTTTCCTCCCAAGAAAGAAACGTGTTTAACACTCTCGAGGGTTATGTGTATGAGGCCGGATGTTAACGAGACTTGCTGTGATGGTCCTTTCGCAATACATAACAAATGCTGAATCACGATGTTGTACACCCCAGACTAACATAATGGTATAGGTGGACTACACCTCAATAAAAGGACTAAATAAGAAGTAAATAAATAAAAGCAAGCTCATCCCAAAAGACAAATAATGACTTGCCCAGGGACAGGCAAGAACTATAAGGAGAATCCAGAGCGGGTGATTGCAGCTGCAGTGTTTGGGGGCTCTCTTACAGAGAAAGCTGGGGGGTGTCCGCCGGACGATGGGCTGTGCCTGCAGTCGGTGCCTGACCAGTGCCTGGGGGACAGCCAGTGCCCTGCCATGATGAAGTGCTGCCGCAAAAACTGCTTCCGCCAGTGCGTCCGGATGGTCTCGGGTGAGTGTCCCTCTGCACCTGGCTGACCCGCCGCCCAAGCCCCGAGCCCCCAGCCGAGCGGAGCCTCAAGCGGGGCTCGCCGGCCCCTGTGTTGCAGTAAAACAGGGCACCTGCCCCGAGGACCGACTGCAGTGCCTCAGCCCCATCCAGCACCTGTGCCACCAGGACTCCGACTGCCGGGGCCTCAGCCGGTGCTGCCTGGGCGCCTGCGGCCGGGACTGCCGGAACCCCGTCAAAGGTAGGGCTCGGTGTGCCGGGGCGGGTGCGTTCCCTCTCTCAGCCCTGCTCGAAGATGCCATCCCAGGTGGACAAGCCTAACAGGATGCCTCCCCAGAAAGCTGGAGCCTCCCTGTGGCCATCACTGGGGAAGTGGCCCAGGGGTGTGAGGGGTCCTGTTAGGATGACGGAGGAACCGGGAATCCTCGGTTCCCCTGGACCACAAGGGAGCTCCCGTGTGCCCTTGGGGAAGTCCTGCCTTCCCTGGGAGTCCTGCCTCAGCGGCCACCAGGGCTGGACCCACGGGTCTGGGTGGGGGATCCAGCCCAGGAGTTAGAGCCCTGTTATGGGAGGTGGTTAACCCTTTCCTTCTCTCTCCTCAGGCTAATTCTGGTTCAGGCCCCGTGGCTCCGAACCTCAGGACGGGGTCCCCCGCAGGAAGAGGTGGTGACAGGGGCCCTGGGACCTGCCACCTGGGCAGCACCACCTCTGCCAACAGCAGCTCCAACCTTCTGATAGACACTGACCTGCCATGACTTCCCCTGCCGCCTGCCCGCCCGCCCCTGGCTTTTCCTCCTGGGAATCACAGTCCGTGGCCAGACCTCAAAGGACTCCCTGGTCCCACCACCGCCCGAGCTCCCCGTCCTTCCTAACACTCACCTTCACATCTCTTTGTATGTGTGTTTCTCCCACCTAAAATGCCTGATTCAGGTAAGCTCCTCTCTGTGGGGGCCCGACCCCCCACCTCAGGGAGCCCGGCCGCCTGAGTGCATGTTTCAGCAATTTCCCGAACGTGTCTGTTTGCACGGTTCTCAATTTCGCCTCGCCTGCAAGACAGCGTCGTGCAGTCTCATGTGCATGGCCTCTGCTCCTGTGTATCCAACGCTCTTCCTTTGGCGGACTCACTTTTGTATATAAACGTTTTCAAAAGAAAACCTCGATGTCACTACTGTAAGCAGGATATGCAGGAGCGCTGGCCACAAATAGAATGTAATTGCAAAAGCAAATGCAAATGCAATGAAAAGAGTGAAGTTCCATTAAAACCATGTCTGATTCAACAATGTCAAATGATGTTATTAAATTCTAGCCTGGTACTGCCACCCGCCAGGACTGCGAGCCTGAAGCCGGCTCTCCATAGCAACCCGTGAAGGTCAGCAAGGGTTAGAGCGCTTTGGGACACAGGTCTCTAACCTGAGACTGTCCCCCTGGTGACTCTTTTCAGTGTTGATAATGTTGCATCCACATACACCCTAAGGTCATTTCAGATTGCTCCACATTTGGGGAAATGCCGCTTGAGCAGTTGAGATGCCATTACTTTGGGGAGGGTCTGATTCCACCATTGGATAATACCTCACTTGCCCCCATTTCTCAAGGGGCTCAGTCTGTAGTCAGGGCCCCGTAAGGAGGGGGGATGTCAATGAGGGAATGCCAGCCATCCCAAGGGACATTCCTGGACCCAGAGAGCTGGATTCCTGGCTGTCCCTTTTGCCCAGGACTTGCTTGAGGGAGAGGGTGGGGTTGGGTGGGCTCCTCCCTGCTTTTTATGCTGGGTGTGCTTGTGGGTGCTGATAGACCCTGGGGCTGGATGGTCAACTGTGGGGGCAGAGTTGGGAACCCTGGGTCTTCTTCCCTGGTTCCCCTGACGATGCACTGCGGTCACAGGGGAGTCACCGCCCCGCCTGCCTGTCTGCCCTGCCGGAAGATGGAAAGAATCCTACTTCCTCACTGCCGGAGTCCTGCTAGTGGGATTCCAATGCCTCCGCTGTTGACTCAAAAGCAGCAAATGCCCATTATAGGGACACACGACGAGGCCTGGGAGAAGGGAAGAGCAATGTGAGAGCCACTGATGCTGTGAGCGTGGGGTTCCCATCCTCTTCCCGGGCCTCAGTTTCCCCATCTGTAAACTCAGGTGCTTAACACAGATAATAGGGCACACTGCATTGTTTGGGCACACGCACCCTCGCCTCCCCACCCTTATGTGCACGCTGGGCGAGCGTACACACGCCTGGCCCCGTGACGAGGGAGGGCTTTGGCCCTGGACTTGCGCTGGCTAATGGAATGTGGGCGCAACGACAGTGTGACAGTTTCAGGGCACGGCACCAGCCTTCCTGCCTGCAGCTTCCGCCCTCTGCCCTGGGGAGAGCTTGTCCAGAAGCCACCGGTCTCGGGATGGAAGACACGGGGTGGGGAGGGGGACGAGGGGGGCAGGCTGAGATGTCCCAGTCAGTTCTCACACTCGCAGGAGGGAAATGAATGTTCGTGACAGGAAGCCACTGAGATCTGGGGATTGTTTGTTCTAAACTGACTGCGGTAAGAGCTTGTCTGATTTGGGTGATGATTACTACCCTGTAGTACATCCCTGCACTTGTAACCACCATTTCATTCATCCACCCTGTAACCCTGAGAAAGATGGGCCCCGAAATCCCCATTGGACAATGAAGAAACAGCGGCTTTGAAATGAGCGACTTGCCCAGACTGCCAGCTAAGAGGTGCACTAGCTGGGATTAAACCATCCTGTGCGCCCCATTAGATATTGATACAATCAGCAACGTTTCAAGTGACTGAGCACTTCCGCTGTGCACAGAGTTCTGCTCCAGGCTTCACAGCCAGCAGGGAAGAGCCGGGTCCAGAGTAGGCTGGGGAGGGCCCGCCGCTCACGGCGGGGTGAGGCCACTTTCTGCCCAACGCAGATCCCCAGGGGCAGCCTTAAAGGGCGTGAGTGTCTGTCTCAGCTCCTAAGTAAGTGCCCTGAGCAGGTGACTGGGCCTCCTTTGTAAAAGGGGGATCCTACGCCCCGGTCCCTATCAAGTTGGTGTCGGCGATAACTTAGACAAGCCACCTGAACCAGAGAGACTGACACCGACCCATCTGGGAAGCTGATCTTACTGCTGCTCCTCTGTGAGAGGAGCTCCGGTTGAAATGCCTCTTCAGGGGGTATAGTCCCCTAACGGACCCCTCCTCCCCCTGGTCCCTGAGCCGGGAGGACGTCCCGGCTGTAGGGCCCAGTCCCCAGACACCCTCGCAAACCCCAACCGAGTCAGGAATAGAAACCACCGCCTCCGGCCGCCCGCGGTCTCCCTCCCTCCCCCGGCAGCGATCGATGCGGCCTCGGCCGCGGGGGACAGAGGGAGACTGAGCAGGAGGAGGAGGCTGCAGGGCCTCCGCGGCAGCGAGGAGGCTCGGCGGGGCCGCCGGGGCACAGAGCAGCCCCGGGCCGGCCCGCAGCGGCTCCCCAGCCTCCGGGGACAGACGCGCTGGGCCGCAGGTAAGGGGCCTCCCTCGGGGAGGGGCGTGGTCTGAGGAAGGGGCGGGGGCTGCGGGAGACCGAGGTGGGGCTGCCTGCTTCCGCGTGGTGGCGTGCTCTCTCCTTGAGACCCCCAAGGAGGGAGCGGTGTGGGGTGGCCGCACTTGGGGCCGGCCCTGTTCGTTCATCTGTCAAACGGGATTAAGAAAACCTCCCCAGCGGGGCTGGGGTAGGGATTCAAACCACCGAAGGGTGCACGGGGCCCGGGGAAGCGACCAGCACACAGCAGGTGACCAAGATAAGCGTGGAAAGAGTTTTGAGAATCACAAAACTAGCTTCATGCTTTACCTGTGCCACGGACGAGCTGGGTAACTTTGAGCTTAGTCTTTCTTACCGGCGTTCAGATTCTTGCCGGGGAAGGTTTGCTGAACTCACTGTCCTTTCTCACAGAGCAGGAAGGTGAGTTCCAGAGAGAGGAGGGGATCTACCCCCCGAGGGGCAGCTGGTGGGTGATGGATCCGGGTTAGAGACTTCATTCCCCGACGCCAAGTCCAGGCGGAGGGTGGGAAGCCGCTGCAGCCCACACGTCCCCACTGGGCACAGTTGACGCGCCAGGGACCGTGCTGCTGAAACACACTGTGCCCGGTGCAATCCTCATAGTGCTCAGGGCAAGGACAGTGTCCCCCACTTTACAGGTGGGGGGACTGAAGCTCAGAGAAGGGCCTGCTCGAGGCCAGCAGTAAGAGGCAGACTCAGAACCGGAAGCCAGCCCTGACCAGAGAGATGTGCCAGGGACTAACGTTTATCCGGCACAGACTGTAGTATCCGGGGTTTTGCACACGTCCTCAACAATAACCCTCCCACTGAAGTGTTATTGTCCCCATTCTACAGATAAGACAGCTAAAGTCCAGAGCAGGAGGAGACTGGCCTTCAGTCACACAAGGAACAGAACTAAGGACAAAACCCCGGCTCGATTAACGCCAAGCCGAGGGTAAGTGAAGGACACCCCTCCTGCTCCCGGCCAGGCCCTGGGCCAGCCGCCTGACGCACACTCAATCCCCTGTCCTCCCGGGAGGCAGGCATCACTGAACCCACAGCACGGATGATGTTACCGAGGTAAGGGGGTGAGTCTGGCCCTAGGTTCCAGCAGAGCTTAGAGACGGAGGTGGTGTCAGGGTCTAAGATCTCCTTAGCACCCTCCAAGGCTGAGCCCTCCCTTAGCCTCCCATAAGCCTCCAGCCTTCCTTGGGCGCAGGTGGCGTTGTCTGCATTGTGCAAGAAGCTAACGTGGAAAAAGCATCTTCCTCAAGGCGCCAGGTGCACCTACAGTGGAGATAAACAAAGGCTTGCCTGACCCCAGGAGACAGTGAGACAGGTGGACAATTTACTAAACCACCTTCTGAGCGCCAGGCCCCATAAAGACATTCATCTAACCTTTTTCCTCGCAGTGGGAGGTGGGTATTTTTATCTCCACTTGACAGGAATTTAGGGAGGTGACGTGACTTGCCTCCGGTCACCCAAGAAAGCCCAAGTTCAAACCCACAGACCCTTTAAATAGCGTAAACCAGTGGCTGTCGCACTTGACTGTGAGTCAGAATCACCCTCGGAGCTTGCTAATAGACAGCGGCTGGTCCCCATCCCCAGAGACTCTGATTCAGCAAGTCTAGAGCGGGCTGAGAATTTGCATTTTGACAGATTTCCAGGTGATTTCCAGGTGATGCTGACGCTGCTGGCCCCGGGAACACCCTTGGAGAACAAGCACGGCCCTAGGTGGTCGGCATGCACTACCCCCATTTCGCCGAGGGAGAAACTGAGGTTCCGAGTGCTCGTGTGCGAGACCCCGCAGTAGACCTCTGGGCTTCGAAAATCCAGGTCTGTCTGGGAAAGGGAGACATCCTATAGGTGCGCCCCTCCCTCCCCCAGTCAGGCGCCGGGACATCCAGGACAATGGCAACTCAAGCACCTCCATAGTCCTCCAAGGTGGAGCGCTGGAGCTCGGATTGTTTACGCCGGTGAGACGAGGGTAGGAAAGGTCAGTGATCTGACCAGAGCCCAGCCGGGGAGTGAGGGCTGGTCAAATCCAAACCTGGCTCTTCAGTCGCGGGGGGGCACCTGACACCCACTGCGCGCCCGGGCACACCAGGAGCTTCACACGGAGCTTCTCACACCCCTGCCTGGTGAATGGGGAGGGGGATTTGATGATCTCTTCGGAAGGGAGGTCCTGGGACCCCCCTCAGCGGGCTCCTCCCGTGTCCTTAGGCCGGCGCACGGCAACCATGGTGAGCGAGTCCCCAGGGCGCGGCGCCAGGGTCCCCTGGAGGCGAAGCGACGAGGCTCTGCGCGTGAACGTGGGCGGCGTGCGACGGCGGCTGAGCGCGCGCGCCCTGGCGCGCT